TGAGAATATTTAAGAATTCGACCATAATGATCAGAATGATCACTCTGTTTATAGTTTAATTACGTTGTTACGTATCATCTTTAGGTTAATATATTTAGGTAATAAAGATTAAAAAATACGTGTATCTGTATATATATAGTAAATAAATGTAGACTAGAAACTAGGTATAAAAACATTTAATTATTCTAATTTCGGACATTTTGTCATATATTAACATTAAATAATTATATTAACATTAGTAATATTTATTTATTCAAAAGTTCTAAATTAGAAATCAATCCAATCATATGATCATATAAGTTGTAATCGTACTGTACGTATGTACGGACGTTACGGAAGTACGGATGTACGTACGTCCGTATGTATACATTATATGCTTCTAAATTCTCGAAATTCTTTAACTCTCACGTTTTTTATGATGACTGCACGTTTTGAATAACTCAAGATTTGATAAACATAAATGCGACCTCGATTTGGCCTACATTTAACCCTTTTATTCCATAAAAAAAAGTGTAATTCCTAAATAAAACTCAAACAAAAAATGATAAAAAAATTTTTCCTATTCATTTCAAATCGGGATAAATGTATTACATAATTTAAAATTATATGCGTTATCAGTGAAATGAAAATCGGTTTATTACAGTAATTTATGATCTGATATTTTTTTGATTTACTATATGATTTTATTGATATCACTTGGTGGTGATATAACCTCTTTTTTGCCAAGAATCTAAAAGAAAAACTAAATTGTTAGAATCATAGGATAGTGTTTTAGATGTTTTTGCATAACCAAAGTAGTTTAAATTAATAATGATTTGGAAAAAGCAATAAAACGTATGATAAATAAACATCTCTTTTTGTATAAACTATCTTAATTCGATTTCATACGTAAACTAATAAAGACTGGACTAGATAATCCGAGGTTACTCTTTTTTTTTTTTACTCACTTTTATCACTCTTATTTATTTATAATAAAAATTTCTGATAGAAAATCAATTGTTAAAGTTCTCACCTTCGACTCTAATGAAAATATGAGTAACGTGTTATCATTTTATTATCATTTAATAGGTCGTTCACTTGTTTTACATTTTCTTGATGAAAGAATATTCATGTGAATTACACTTTACCAAATATTAGCCAATCAGGTCAAGGATTATTTATTAATATGATTTACATGATTACTACGTAACAGGTAACGTAGTAACCAAAATATCACACGTATCATCGTCAGTCATACATACATACGCACATACTGTACTTACGTACTGTACATATGTATTTTTATATACATAAAATTAAATTTTCTTTAGTACACAAGTGATACACTTTATACTTATTTATGTATATGTAAAAAAAAAAAAAAAAAAAGTCTGTCCACATGCTTTTTCTTCGATATTCTCAAATCTTCTTTCAATGTAATAAAAATTTCACAAAATATATTAATATTTTTTTAATATTTAAGTATTGACTTGATAACTTTAATTTTATTATTTTTTTTTATTTATTTATTATTATTATTATTATTATTATTATTTATTATGCGTGCTTTGAATTATTTGAATGACTCAATTTACTATGTATTATTACACACTGAATTCTGACTTTTTTTTTTTTTCTTCGGAGAATATATTTGTATTACGATTATTTTATCTAGTACTGTAATATACAAATTAATATTTATTTATACTATTGTAGTCAAATCAAAGCCATAAAGTAATTTTTGTATAAAATATTGATTTAAATAATACTGAAATAATTTTTTTTGTTTAAAATACATATATATTGCGGATTTTTTTTACCTATAAATCCTTGAGTGTGCCACTTTCTCGTGTTTTTAATTCTTTGGTTGCTTTTTAAAAGCACAAGTATTATTAACGTCTTATATATATATATATTATTTTTATTTTGTTTTTTGTTTTTTTTTTACAACAACAGGTGGTTAACCTGTTATCTTTATAAATAGTCTTTTAATTTTTTTTTTTTTATTTCTCACCTGCAACTTTTTACGGTTAAACGGTATAAACTTTTTTCATCCATTCCCATCTTTTTTCTTTCTTGTCTAACCTTTTTGTAAAGACTCTTTTTTCTCTTAAAAAAATAATAATAATTCTTGTATTATCTTTTTTTATTATTATTATTACTTTTATTATTTGGTCTTTCTTTCAAATTTAAATGATCATGGAGTCAACGATTCTTCCTGATATTGTTGACCCTCTAAATCCAGTTAATGTTCATATCCTTCTTTATTATTTGATAAATTTTTTTTGTTTTTTTACGTATCCTATGAATTTTTTTTTTCTCATTCTCTTTTTTATTACAGGATCATCAAGAAGAAGAAGAAGAAGAAGAAGAAGAAGAAGAATTACTTTCTTATTCTCACCAACCTCGTTTTTTTAATTCTGATGAAAGTGACTCGGACTTTGATGATGATAATGATGTTGATGATGGTGTTTATTATTCAAGTGACTCAGAAGAATGTGATATGGATGTAGATTATATGTATGCTCCTTTTGGTCGTCCACCTTCAAGATTAGGTCGTCATACTAATTCTATGCACTCCGGTTCAAAAAAATCAAGAAGAAAATCTTCTGCTACATCTTTAACTCGATTAAAAGTTGATAATTCTTTCCTAAAAAATCAAAATATTAAACTTTTATTGGAACTTGAACATTCTAGATTAACTATTCAAGCTTTAAAAAATATTGTTAATCAAAAAGAGTCTACCTTACAAAGTTATCGTAATGAAAATCAAAAGGCTATACTAAAAATTAGAGTTTTAGAGGCTTTGATATTTAGTAAACATGCCAAGGATGGAAGTATAATCGTTAGAAGTGGCGGTGGCAGTGTAAACGAAAACGGGTTATCTACCTGTGAAAAAGTTGATAAAGTTGATAATAAGTTTGATAATAAGTTTGATAATAAGTTTGATAATAAGTTTGATAAAGCTGATAAAGTTGACAAAATTGTAAACGATGATACAAATCTTGTTGATAATTCTGTTCAACCTACTACAAATCAAGAAAATCAACCTATCAAAAAATCTAAAGAAAAATCTCTTAAAAAGGTTTCTTCTCCTGCTGGGTCTTCTCCTCCTGGTTCTACTAAAATTAATCATCCTCGTTCTAATAATAATAATTCCCCTCCTCAATCTACTAAACAATCTACTAAAAATTCCTCTCTTTCACAACCTTCACAACCTTCTTCACCTTCTCAACTTGCTTCTTTATTCCGTCCTCCATCAATATTATCATCTATTCTTCCTTCTCAATCTAATCACTCTAATCAATCTAATCAATCAAATGATTCTCCAAAAAGAATTAAACATCAAAGACGTTGGTCTATGGATTTTGGTCCTCGTAATCATTTAAATAGTGATGAAGAAATCACTACCGCTTCTGATGATATTGATGTACCAATATCACCATCGCATTCTTCTTCACGTAATCGTCATTCTATATCTCCAACTTCTTCGTCTACCGTTTATGCTGGTAGTGCTACGAATGATTCAAAATCTCGTGGTATGCCACGTTTATTTAGACGTAAAACTGGTGATTTAATTCAAACTTTAGCTTCATGTCGTCCTACTAGTACAAAAAATGGTTACGATTTTTCTCCACCGACTACTCCAATTCCATTAGATAATCATGAATTAAGTGATGATAATAATGTTGAGGAGTCAGAAGTGGATGAGATTTGCGAAAATAGTGTGAATATAGATGAAAATATTATTATTGACGAAAAATTACAAAGACAGAGAAAGTTGGGTCAAGGTTTATTGAGTAAAATATTTTCTTCTACATCTTTTCCATCTACGATATCAACTACGCCAGCCGCTCGCGGGTCGTTAAGTCGTTGATCGATTATTATTCATCTTTTTTTGTAGATTGATTTTTTTTTTTTTCTTTTTAGTTTTCTTTTTTAGACGTTTCATTTGCATAACCTAAATTTAGACTTGAAACAATCACATTCCCCATAAAACTTGTCATTTAGATAGTTTTATAACCATTTTTGTTATTTTCTATTACTTTTTGTAAATACTTTCACGAATGTTACACTCTGTGTACACTAAATCCTAAAACGGTGGGCCGGGACGATTGAGGAGCTGAGATGACATAATCGTGGTAAACCCACACTCCCCATTTAAATTAAACCCTTCATAACTTAATTTAGTAAGGTCTTTTTATCGTTAAATCATTGTTCCTCCCAATAATTATTAAATTTTACAATATCGACATTAATAGAGAGAGAAAGAGAC